ACCCGGAAATTCCATTGTCTAATGAGCATCCACTGCTACGTGGCGCACATTCAACCATTTGAAGTCTGAACCCTGGCACCAGCAAGGCATAAATATGAGCTTGCCTACTAAGTTTGCTTTATTAAAGCCTCTTTCCTGAGTGATGAAAGACCCTGCTCCCCTATTAGACTTTAAGTAGTGCATACTTGGAGTGGCAGCTATAAGTAGTATAAGACACAATCATGATATCAAATTTCTGACATTATTACTGCGTATACAATAGCAGTGGGCCGCCTATAGCACATGGGGAGCCCCTTGAAATAGCCTTTCGCCTCTCAATTTGCGGTCGGACGCGGTTGTGGCACCTTCGATGCGCGTGCCGAATGCGTGGAAAGGGGCACGTGACTTGCGTCCCGTAACTTATTGGGAGGATTGCATTCAGTCGTTGCGCCTCTTGCCTTCTCGCTGAAGCCGGTCCCAGGCCTGGAGCAAGCGCGAATGAAGTAGATGTAATTGTGGATGTGTGCATCCCACCGATGTTGTGGCCTGCTCCCGAGCTATATCATGGTCCCATCTGCTGATCGTACAGGGAAATTTTTAATCAATATGGAGAGCTTGGACTTTGCCAGGTAGAGGCACGCCCGCTGGCGCGCACCGAAAGCACACTATAGCGTGAATGTTCGGCACCTCGCTATAACAGGCCATAATAATAGCCCACCTTTGGCCCACCTATTCTCGTCCTGCCTCGTTGCATAGGCGTGGGTAGAGGCGCCATGATATATATCGATCTCTGGCGTACAGTGGTGCTACACCTTCAAGTGTTCTCCCAGCTGTCCACAATGTCCTTGCCCCTCTACTGGGTGACGAAGAGGTTCTTCTATCCCATCGGGAACACTGCTGCCGTCTGCCTCACGCGGGATCTCCCACCTGGGCAGTCGGCTGATGTGCTTCTCCTTGGGTGCGGCGACGCGCGGAACGTACTATACACGATCTACTATGATCTGCCCTCTCTATCGGGTGAGTACTCTGTCAATGGCCACCTTGCTTATACGCTAAAAGCCTCGCTTAGGCCGTCGTAAACTTGATTTTACCTGCTGCGACAACCAGCCTGCTATCCTAGGTGGGTTCTACAGTGTCGGTCACTAAGGATCGGCGCCTCCATAGCGCCTTAATTAGGGCGCCGCAGACCTCCAGAAAAAAATTTGAAACATAAACCTGGCCAAAATATGCGTAATCCTGCAATTTCGATTTTTTATGGATTACGTAAGCGTTCACTTTTAGGGGTGGAAATTTCAATATTACGGATTTCGCTGAGGGAATGATCCTGGAGTTGAATGGTGTATCACAAGCATCGAAAGGTGAGGTATCCTCACTCACAGAAGTCCCAGTGCCCCTTCAAGGTGACCTTACTCCAGAAATAGTGCTGTATGAGGGCGTATTATATGATTCTAGATCTCCACAAGTCAGCTCATCATGCCCTCAAGCTTACCTGACACTCTCAGTTTGCTCTCAGTATCAAGAACTGTGTAACGAGAATGGGACCTGACATAGGGGTAGTAGACCCATTATGGGTTAACTGCATTAGGGTTAGGGTGTATTACTAATTACAGCCATCAATACATATCTATATATAGTAACTCCGACGCAACTCCGCTTCAAATTCACTTTTCAGGTATGTCAAATTTTTTAATATCGGAATTTCGAGAAAGTAATCAGATAGCCTGAAAGCTAAGGGCAATCCGAGTCGATTGGCGCTGTTTTCAGGCCCATTGGAGTCTTTGCCCGGGACGAGATACCATCACGCGTTCGGCTATGCCCGAGGCGTCGGTCTTGAGCGACCGACACTGTACCCCTCGTCACTTGTGCTTATCGTGATGGCATCGTCATAGCCCGAAATATCTTGCTGTATGTCCTCATCCAGGAGAACGAACCTATCGAGAAAATCTGGAACATCTATTATCACTTCTTCATTGATGAAGCGTCTTCCAATCTCCTCACACGTTACTGCAGAGCCTTGCTTCGTTTCTCCAACACCGTCGAGGATTGGCGGATGTGCAAGTATGGATCCTGGCTGAAATTTTTGGACAGCAATACACTCTCTGAAGTTCGTCAATATTGGGAGCGATATGCTAACTTCCAGGACATCGATCCAAGCAAAGATGTTAAGCTGCGAAAACATATCAAGAAGATGGGCGCTTCCAATAATGGCAACTCTGGCTATCTCTCCACGAATATCGGCTCTGCTCGCTCCGCAGGGCCAGTGTGGAACAAGGCATTGGCTTCCATGTCAGAATTGTTTCGTCGGTATTGGAGTTCTGGTACCACCTTCCTTCACCCAGATGAAGTACAGGCTGCATCATTTATCAATCCGACCTTCGTATACTCTCTCCAGGGAGAGACGTTCGATCCTCACTACGGGACGTTCCCGCTTCAGACCTTTCACACCGCCGCCGCATTCATACCTAACTCCACTCGACCTGAGACTGTTGATCCAATGGAGACGCTCCTTCAAACGGCAAAGGCACAGTTCACTGCATGGTGCTCCTGTTTTCGGGAGGTTGTGAATGTCGCAGGCTCGCCCTCCGTGGTGATCCGGTTCTACACCGGAGATGCGCTGGCCTTCGGCTCTGGGTTATCCCATGTCGCTCAAACCGGTGACGCGGCGACACCGCACTATGCGTGTCCCTGGCAGAGCCGTCAAGTGAACCTTGACCAGCTCATTCTTACCGAAGCGCCCTCGCTCTTCGACGTCGTCGATACGTCTAACCTGACGGATGACCTGGGTTTGCTCAATCTCTTGCTTGTAGGCGAACCCCTGATGAAGAAGACTTCCGGCCGCTGTCCTGTTCTCTACACAGAGACGCTTCTACGAGCTGGGGAAGACCCACTACGCTCTCTCCCGGGTCGCTTATGTGGGGACCCACAGGTCATGGCTGTCCTTCTCGGCCTCATCCCCCGGCCCATGCTGACGGGCTTCCAGACGAATTCTCATAGCCACGAACGTCAAATACACTATGCGACGAACAACAAGGATAGCACAGCAGGGCAGTATCATGAGCGCACTTCTTGGGTCTGTCCCGTGGGAGGTGATGATTCTCGTGAAGCTTCGGCTGCTTTACACCTCCCTTCTGATACTAAAGATGCCGCCTGCCTCTTTTTTGACATTTACGATAAAATGCTGGAGTTCGAACATAATGGTCCTGCAGAATCTCTGCGGATGGCTGCACGTCAGCCACGGCAGGTTATCTTCAACGTGGTAGCGAAAGAGACGATTCGATATAATCGGGGAACGGTCGCGATGCTGCTTAGACACGCAAGGAGTCGGGTCACTTGCACCGATGAAGAATGGAGTGTAGTCATGAAGATCTTCCTGGACAAAGTGCGGGCTGACTCCTTCCGCCTGGTGGGGAAAGGCTTTATGCAAGACCTAGCTACACAGCTGTATACGTATGGCGTCTACACTGTGTGGCGTGAAGCTGGAATTGAGAGCGCGTGGAGAGCAATACCCCCAACGATCACCGAGGGCCTGTCGTCCAGCTCGGCATCTCAGGTGGCATGCCTTACACTCACCGTTCCCCGCGCCGCTTTGCAGCCATTGCTATCCCCCAACAATACGCCGCTCGAGGGTACGCCGGTGTTACTCTTACGCTTGGCTCGTGGTATCGCCCATCCGACTTTCTCTAGCATTCATGCTGTCCCAGGTCGGTTGGATGTATCTGTCGATCCACCGGTAATCAAGCAGTCACGACGCGGCCTTGACGCCGCAACCTTTGTGTTCTTGTGCTGGGTACCGATATATCTGCTCAGCCCTTCACCGTCGACGATCAGCCTGACGGTCTGGGACACACCAACTATATTGGAGCAATTGATGCCTCGACTCGGTCTATCTCTAGACCTGTACACCGCGCCCCTTACGGATAGAGCAAGAGTCCGGGTGTTAAATACTCGCCCGAATATCACTTCAGAGCCGCAAGCCACTCCGGATACCGTGCATCGACAGTCGCCATCATCTAATCCAGCGAACCGTACTAGTATCACTATCAATCTGGCTGACAATCGAATCTCTACATTGACAGGAAGACTAGACGTCTGTGCAGAAGCTACAAGGTCTAAACTCTCCGGAGGGGCGGAAGTATTGATGGAGCAGAAGGGACCATGCACTGTGGAAGTATCGATAGGTTGCTACAAGCATGTGATACCGTATCCGTTCCCGATCATAGGAGAGCGGATCAAGGGGAGGATAACTCGAAATTCTTGCTACGTCGAAGTACGTGGGTCTTGATTATCTTCCACTGTCCTTCGTCTCACCGTCCCGTCTCAGGCTATTGTCCCACCCTCGGGTCCCCTCTCCCCGGGAGGCTACTTGTATAATCCTTTCCCGGTCATCGGGAGGTCGTCCTTGGCAGCATGGGGATTGCATGCCGTCAATCTCGATAAGTCACCAGTCGTCGATGTCGGCGAAATTACCCAAATGGAATGGCTCAACTCACACGTCACCCTCCAAATGTCGGATCGTGAGAAGACGCTACGTGCGGATGGTACAGGCCATTCAGACGCCCTTATGAACGTCAAGGACAGCATACACTGCTTGATCGGTGCATTCGCGGGATTCGACAGAGATGGCCTGAGTCGTCGGGTATTCGGTTTGAGGGATCCCGGTAATGTTGGCATCCACACCCTGATTTTCATGTCAAATCTCCGGATGGACCTACAGGCATTCACGGTCGTGGCTGATGTTGCTGTCATACCGCTGCATGACATGAACATGCCGTACCTCGGAGTCGGCCTCCAGGCACTAACTGACCAAATGGATAGCACCTCTCACCGTACCCTCCGCACCATCACCACGGGCGGCATCGAAGGAGTGACTTGGAGGAAGCTGCTCCCATCTGCGGTTGAGCGTTGTCGCACTTGGGCTCACAAAGATAGCTGTGAGTACGGCAGCGAGGTATCTGCCACTGGTCGCACGAAAGTCCCAATCTCAGCAGGGATCGATCAGCCTTGCATCTGCTCTTGCGGGGAGGGTGCCAATCTGGAGTCTTTCCGGGACCTCGATGCGATCACGAGCTGGAGATATCTGAGGGCGTATGCCACACGGGCGGCCATAAGTCCCCTATTTTCCGTGTCGTATGTCGAGCCGGTGGGGTCTCAGCAAAGCAGCATAGGTAATGCGACCGGATGGCGGCAGTTTGGCTATTGCAATAATGACTGGAAGTGCAAGAAATGCGGGGGCCTCGGATCACCCACGCTCTCGACGTGCAAGGGGTGTAAAGGAGTTAAATACTGTTCTCGTGATTGCCAGAAGGCGGACTGGGAAGATCATAAGCAGTTTTGTGAACGATGAAACCTTCATTGATACTGTAGCTTACATCAAAGCAATGCGTCTGCGGAGCAGCATTGCTGACTCGTCTTGGCGCCTTGCCTCCGAGCTCGTAGAACGCAAGTGCTTCCAAGGGCGGGATACGAATAATCTAGATGCGGGAATACTTAGACGGGTGAAGTGAGTCTGACGGGTCAGGATGAATTCTGGTTCGCTCACCAGGCAATACTACGCTTGGATACACCAGATGTCGGCTGGGTAGAGCAGTGAGAAAGATCACGAGGTAGTACTATGGTGCTTGCATTAGTGGCAGCTGTAATCAGAGTATCTTTCCCAAACTGAAAATATAATCTTGGAGACGCCCTTTAGCGTACGCGGTGGCCGAGTGGTTAAGGCGAGAGACCAGAATGTGGAATAGTGGCATCGGCGTGTGCCGCGCTCGGCGGGCGGGCGCGAGGACGGCGTCGACGTCTGCAAGCTGCAGTACAACGCAGCGCCGACGTCAGGTCAGCCGCTGTGCTGCGGCGTCGACTGTACATAGGACCTCTGAGTCGTGGCAAAGTACTTAAGGCAGTACTAGTGGGCCTGCCAAAAACGTGTGCAAGACTCGACCGCGTCGGATTCGGTAGTCGTTTTACACGAGTCGCTTTGAATGGAACTTCCATTTCCACTAAGACCAAGAGGACGACGTCGAGCCAACGGTCCAAGTATAGTGAGACCCAGAAAATGTCTCAGCCGCAGTAGGACGGAAGTTGAGGTCTCTGGGAGTGCTTCTCATCCACACCAGGTCTTCATCAAACACAGATTCATGCATATGCATGTGATGGAAAGCGGTTTGGAAGTTGCATCCGCCGAAAGCGAGTCCTAGTGCCTACATGACCAGTTCCATGAAGTCCGTGGATCATACAGTACTGCTCACATGCATGATTGCAAGCTCTTCCAGAGCAGACATTGGCTTCCATAACGCGTCCATAACGCGTCTCATCCTGGGCTGAGTAAGGCTGCCTCCGTCGAGATCCAATCGGCATGGCAAGTAATGAGCCTGAGAAAAGAATCTCACTGTGATCTGAAGACACATTCAAACTTTCCAACCTATGCAGCAAAACCCGCCGTCTAGTAGCAACAGGAACTACAACGGTCCCGTTGATGATGAGTCGCCGTAATGATACGGTTGCATGTATTGTAATAATATACACAACAAACTCTTGTCCCTGCAAGGAACGAGCGCAGCATCGGGAATCGTTCATAACCCGCCTTCGAGAAGGGTCAATAGTCCAATATCATATTATTTTAATAGCATTCCTACCTAGAATCGCTCATGACTCGCACCCGATATCCCTGGCGCGCTCTCAGTGCTATACAAGGTTTGCGCCTCGTGGCCGCGCTGAGGTCTAATGGGAGGCATATGTGCCGGACACGGATAAAGATGCGGAACAGTGGACTCCGAGTCGAATGAATACTCAGAATGCTCAACTGAGGATGTCTCAGGGTCTGGGCTGTCCAGCATGGGCGGCTCATCGTCAGCGAGCTGACCAGCGCCTTTCTTCTTGGCATAAGCGCCGGCGTGGGCATAGTATGGGTCGTTCTCCGGCGCCAGCGTTGATTCCACTGCCGAAGAGCTCTCGATCAGATGCGGCTTGGAGATCGCGAGTTTTCCGAGGACGCTGCGGGGTGGCAGAATCCGTCGAGTCGTTGAGAATAGGATGGCGTTGATGGCCCCTGTAAAGCAATAGAGCCTGAGCGCCGTGGGCCTTGAGAATTGAGACCAAGGGGTGCGGACCTGAGAAAAGGTAGACCGTATCGCTTTTACAGACATTATGAGATGTCTTTTCCAAGAATATTCTCGGAATCACATACCATGCAATAGTCAGAGAGAATGAAACATTGTGGCCGGACCACTCGACAAAGCGGACCACTGCAATGGGTAATATAATGATGGTATAGGCGATCTGTGACAGCTGACTGAGCGCAACGTGCAAGATAATTATCGGACACCGCCTACCGGATACCTAGTGACGAAGCGTCTATCAGCAAGCCGAATACTTCGTGCCGTGTCTGTAGACAACTCACAAAAGCATACGCCTCGTGACAGATGCCACATATGATTCATTCATTCTGTTCCCAAGGGATCCCGATAGGGCGGGACGCACTCGGAAGCTGATATGTCTGCCTTCTACGATGAGGATCCCGCGCAAGCGTAGGAATATCAGAGCGTATAGGACGAAGCTCAGTAAAGCGGAGATAAACATCTGTAAAAAAATATTCACGATCCGTCAATGCTGTCCCATTTCGTACGTACTATCATATAGTCCAGGCTAAAGACATAGGATGTTAATGACATCTAAGAACGATGAAGCAAGAGACGCACACAAATCGCTTCGTCGCGTACAGGTCTGTTATCCAACACCAGTATCCTGAAATACCATCTGCAGCCAAATAAGCCCCCGACACATCGTCTATATCGACAGGGACGCACAGAACGGCCCGTCCTGATTACTCGAAGTAGCCGGCCCTGCAATCACTAGCGCAGCCACTGTAGACCACCCACCCACTATGGTCACGTACAGGGCGACACGAGGCACCTCCAAGCGTAAGAAGAGAACGTTGAAGGTATGAACAGCTATAATCTACAGCAAATCCGTTCCATACTTTACTAGAAGACGACGGCAGCGATACGCACCAAAGACCACAAGGCGAGACCGATGTCAGCGGCCTGCTTGATACACGCTACAACGAAAGCCGTGAGGGATGACTCCAAGGGTGATACCGTGCACCTATGAGTGTCTCACCTTGGATAGTGCAGAAATGCTCATAGGTCACCGCCATCTCATGCACCCATTTAGCATTCATAATGGAACCGACCACTTCAACAGTCCGCGTTAGGGTGGAATGTACCAAGAAAAAGTGTCTCGATGCTCTATGCATACCTTGCATAAGGTCTGAGACCATTAAGGACATGAAATAGGCCGCGACATGGGTACGGACAAAGAGATGCGGACTGGCAGAAGTGCGGGTATTGAATGCAGACAGCTACGGAGAGTTAGCACGATTCAAACCGCCTTAACGATTCTCACTGAAATGGCAGAGAGAAGGCCCAAGACTGCCACGCATGAGATCGCCGATGCAGCAATCAATATCTAGCGACGAAATAGGTGTAAGGGTGAGATCAGCCCATAGCATGACAGACTGACCACAATACCGCTCTTTTCCTGCCCGGTGTATAGAGACTTGACAACGAAATCCTTCTCGGATCGCAATTGATAAGTCATGTCTGACATAGCTTAGGAGGCAGCTCCGAGGAGAGGGTAAAGGAACGTCCTTAGGCGGCCCGCACCTATAGTCGGTACTATGAAACCCCTGCGTCAAATCAGAGGTCGTCAGTGGTAAGATACAGAAGGCCCAGCCTTAGAAGAACGAAGTGGTACGTGAGGCCGGAGAGCCAAGTCGCTAGCAAGGGGATGGGTGTGTAACCGCGCTAAACATATTGGCTCGGACAGTTCGGTGTTAGACTGAACGATAGTATACCTCGGCCCTGATGTGCCGAGTAAGGTGTCGACAGGGACCATCGTAGATGGAGATGGAACTGGTACGCCACTCAATGCCCGAGCCAATTGTTTGCCTGGTCGGCAGTCTCGCTACCATCATATGTCAAACTAGGTCAAACCCCGTGGAGATAGATAATCACCGGTGCCCACAGCCATGATACGTTCAAGACAGACACTGCGGGAGTTGCAGTATTTAGGGGGGGTGCAAAAGATTGTGGAATTCCGAGCTCTGATTTGCTGGGAATTCACCTTCCTACAATCTTTTGCCTGGCCCTAAAACCTGCAACTCCCGAGGTGAGAGCTAGCAGGCGTGCTCAATCCTACAATTCGGCCGTTCGCTCGAGCAATCGTTCGCGCTTTCGTTCGCGCCAGGAATAGCTCAAGAAGTGATGCGGGAGATGGCCGAATCATCATGTGACTTTCTCCTCCGCGCTGGTTTGGCTCGCCCGAGCTCTCTGTGTAACCCAAATGATATGGTTAGGAATGTACTACTGGGCCTGCGCCGTAGGATGGGGATTAAAATAATGATGACAGGCACTAAAAATCTGTTTGGTTACTATGTTACCGCCATATAATGAGCTTATTGCCAGTGAATAGGACACGTTGCAAAACTTTGAAGTTCGAGCCGCTCGAGGGAGCAGATGCTCGGCTCCCTTCGGCCATCTCCTTCTTGAGCTATTCCTGGCGCGAACGAAAGCGCGAACGATTGTTCGAGCGAACGGCCGAATTGCACGCCTGGCAGCACTTAGCAGCACTGCGGGAGTTGCAGTCTTTAGGGGCGGGCGAAAGATTGTACGCAAGGGAATTCCACGAGCTCTGATTGGCTGGAAATTACCTTTCGTACAATCTTCTGCCCGGCCCTAAATGCTGCAACTCCCGACTCGGAAGTGTAGGTCCATTGATGAGTCCCAGTGAAAACCGACATCAATGCGGTTCATTTACTTCCCTCGCAAACCATTTCCGGTCTTTGAGAACCTTTTGCTCCGAAATTCAAGGGAACATATTCTCACACGTTTGCCAAATTCGGTAAAATCAAAATTCAGACGCGCATCAGAAATTCCCACACTACCAAATCGACGACAACAAACTCTTTCAATGAGTCAGTCAAGGAGAGCGCGTCGAAGACTACAGTCGACTCTGTCTTAACCCATAACGGGTCGTGGAACCCGAAAGTTATGGGTTTTTGCAGACTATGGGTTACCAGAACGTGTAACATTGTGTGACTACCTAGTAAGCGTGACACACAGCCTATCCCGTATAGGCCAGACGTCGTTTACACTGGGTACATCACCCATATTGAGCATGCACAAAACTTTGAAAATAACTGGTCAAAGGTCAAATTTTTTTCATGATTGTCCATTGCACAGTCACTGAAACGAATTAGAATAATACTACTTTTGAGTGCGCAAAAATCTGATTGTGACACGGGATATGATCTTTGTTCAGCACTGTTCATTGAACTTCCATTTGTTTTGCAAGGCAACACTATGAACAAAATTTGACCTTTGTCCAGTTCCTTTCACACTTTCTCAGTGGCTCAATATGGGTATTGTACCCAGTGTTATGACAACGTTTAGATACCGAATCTTGAGTCTGGCATGGGTTATCTTTTGAAATACCACGAGAACCAAAAATTAAGGGTCCAGATGGTTTAGGTTCTCGTGGGAAGGAGACCTGTACCTTCCTAATATAGGTTGTTTTATGGGTTATGACCCTCCAAAAAGCTATGGGTTATGGGATACGGCAGACTTATGGGTTTTTACTATCTACCATGTTGGTGGAAGCCAAAAACCTATGGGTTATTACAGGTTATGGGTTATGACAGGTATGGGTTAAGACAGAGTCGACTGTATAAGAAAAACGACGACGCCTACTTACATAAGTGCGAGTTTCCTTTGGTTGACGTCACGCCGCCTTTTGAACGATGCGGAGTTCGAAAGGAGGCCCCGCCTTCTCTTCCTCTGACCGCCACCATCAATGCTTTGCTCTGTGTATTCGATGCTGTATGTACAGGTGCGAATTCTGTGTCGTTTCCAGAAACCACTCGAGTGTGCTAATTATCATTCTCGGGCCTCTGCGCGGTGCGCGTGAGTTGCCCCTATTCGCGTTGGTTAGCCCCTATTTGCGTCGGTCAGCCCGAATTCGTGCGTCTGGCCGCGCTCGTCCCTCGCGCGCTCTTTCATGCGCGAGAGATAAGTTGCCGCCCATCGAGTTGCTTTCGTGACTGACCCAGAGGATTGCGTCCAGTGATCCGGGCATGTTGCAGAAGCATACATCGAACGGTTCGTCGTCATTGCCTTCTGTCCAGTCCTCTCTTCTGATTTACATGCTCAGAGGTTCCACTATGGCACCTGTCCCGCAAACTGGGTTGTGTACTGTATGGGCAGCGCACGACATTGACGGAAGGCGGGTCAAAGTATGTATATTCTAGTATTGTATTGTACAATAGGATATTATGTATATATGCTGTTTTCGCAATAATGATTTTTAAATCTCTGAGTGAAAGGAATCCTTAAGGAGGGGAATGGATGTCAATGCATCCTGTACATTTAGATACGGAGAACCTGTCAAATGACGGGCTGAGAATGATTTTTCCATCATACATTGCCAGTCAGTGTATGGCTACATTACTCATTTGCCGTTCATTAAGATATGCAAATGGACGGGAAAGGAAGGCATTGATGTCGGTTTTCACTGGGGATGAGTGCCGCGCCCGGTTGGATTTCGGCTTTCGGGTTCGAGCTTGCGAGCTTGCGCTGTGTTGCGCGTGGTCAGGGGGGACTGCCGCGGGTGAGCCCTGACTGATAAGATGATAAGAAAATCCTCTATATTTGCTGTATTTACTTGTTGTACTGGATGCGATTGCCCTTCGGGCAACCGACCGCCTGGGGCAAGCGTGCTCATCTTCCGTTTGCTAGGATTATTTCAACATGCCCATGCATTTATGGTGCGCATCGCGATTGCGGAGTAAATATAAGGGACAGCTTGAAGTCGTACTGCGGCGTATGGCTGCCTTTTCCGTCAGCAAGACGGCAAATACTAGAACTCTCTACACTACAGCCTGAAGAGCCTGGGAAATTTCAGCTTCATTTTCGCTGTGCCAGTGGCTGAACGTCCAATACAGTAGACGATTAATATTCGTTCAGGCTGGGACCTCTGTCCATAGGTATTCCGACAACTGTGGTAGCATCTGCGGATCTCGAAACATGCAGGAAAGGAGGTGTTCCTGCGACCGGTCCCGCTCTACCAAGCCTCCACTACAGTATATATACTTACTCAGCCGTACCGGAAACGGAGTATATACCGTTCCACTTCGTCTCTTACACCCGAATTGATTGAAACCTCAAGATTATCCACTTATCCGTCCACTGGCAACACGTTGTCTTCTACTGTTGACCTTTCTGCGTGCATTCTTTCTCAAATAAACATAAATTACGTGTTTATTTCCAGCCGACCGGCGAATAAACAAACAGCCCTGCGGTGAAAACACAGGTACCCGTGGAGCTTGCTCAACTTGAAAGCAGAGCAACGACAATACCATCCATGTGGACTCGATTTTTTCCGCAGTCTGGGAGATCCGTACCCGGACTTCCAGGGAATCGGAAAATGCTGTACAGTGAACCCATCCGTTGCCGGTAACTCATTGTACGGAGCTCACCTATGCATCACGCTCGTGCGATGCCTAGAGCAAGGCGTATGCCTACGCCATACCAGCTTCAGTGACAGAGGTGAGGGCACATTAAATTGCTATAAGGCTAATACGTGGCAAGACAGACCAGTGTGCATGAGTCTTTCTAGTATACTATGATAGAGTTTTCATAAGGTGAAGACATAATCGAAAGATTCATAATATCTAGGATGGTGGCAGGGACAGTTTAGTAAGACTGCAGGCAACGAGGTACTGCGCTTACTTCTCCGAGAATAATCAATACCCGGCCCTTTCAGCTCGTAATGCCGAAAGAGTCTGGCGAGCTGCCTCTTCCTTGGCTCCAGCGGAAGTACTTGCGGAGGCATGTCCGTACTCTACCCCTCTAACTGTCGACCGGGACTGTCAAGAGCTTGGAAATTGAATAGCTCATGCGTACTTACTGTAGGCAACAGCCGTCCATATTCTCGCATGAGGCGGCCCAGAAGAGGTCACCTCCCAGGATAAAATGCCAGTTTGCTGACTGCGCTGCAAGTAGTTGTTGAGCTCCATACGCCATTCTGTCAAAGGGCCTCAGCTTCGCGACTCGATCAAATAAATTTAATCTTACGATCGACGGATGACATTGCTAGCACGATCTACTGTCTCGGTAGCAGAGGCGACGATTCTAGAGTAAGTGATTGTGCCAGGCTAATATGGCGGATATCCCGCAAGAGCAACATACCCTGAAGCTTTTAGAGAGCCTTCCAGACGCTGTGGAATAGCTGGATCCGGTTCGTCACTCAAACAGCGGAGCCGCGAGGAATGGACCTCATTGCATTGGAAAATCAGTCCTACGCGCCCGTGAGTCAGGGCTGCATCCGGATCACGTTAAGTGTGGACTGAGAGGGAAAAGAAGCAGCACAAGGTGCACAGAGCTAAAGAGATCTTCGACGGTCAATACATTTCTGACCTACCGTAAAACACCAAGAGAGACGCTGTTGTCGCCCGGATGCTCATATCTTTCCTCTCTGGAAAGCGACTGATGCCACGGTTGACCGAGTCATCGCGCGAAAACGATGCTATGTCCGCGAAAAAGGCGGTCCGCTCAAAAGTCTGACGGTCAGTTCAAATTCCATTTTACCATACATACATATTGCCCCAGAGCCATATATGTAGCTGTCTCTGCTAGAGGCAGGTTAGCCGAATGCGCCTTAAGAGAGGTTCGTCCCAGGACCTTCGTCTGTGCGAAAGCAGTGGGTCCCGATGAAAATAATGTGATGAACGAACTCGCGTGTTGCTGCGGTCGAGCCACGCGACAGTATTCCAGTACAGGCCGGACAAACCGGAAAAGGCGAGCTGAGTGCTCAAGGAGGTCGTCTCAGACTCTCAGAGACAAGGTTACTTGTCATAAATGGAAGCAGTGATGGTCGTCGAGTCAGATCTGCTCGGTAAGAGGTTGCTGTGAACTGCTCCATTCAGTAGGAGCAGCTTGAACGCCGACGTAACTTCAAAGGAGTGAAACGACACGCCCAAAGAAGGAGAATAGCAGCTTCCAGACAGACGGATACCCACCCCCAAAGCACATCAGGTGGTAGCGAGTCTCGCTTCTAGAATGGAGGCATGCCGTGGTGTGCGAGCAGCTCTGAATCTGAATCATTTGCGTTACTCAGATAACCGACACTGATGACTTGCTCACTTTCATTTCGTTACGCTCGATATCGAGCGTTTCCGCTCTGGAAACCGCGCCAGGAAAGCAGCGATGTAGAGAGATATGAAATATCAACAGTAACTGCAAGCGCTCTTCGGGCGCTTCCGCTTAGCGCCCATGTTTGTCGGCTCCGACGCAGAAGGTATCGAGAGTACTCCAGCACAGCATCGGAATATCGTAGCGCTCGCTCCTGTGTGCAACGGCGCTAGCAGGGCTACACTAGATAGCGAGTTTGAGAAAGGCACTATCCGAGTGAACCACGTACTGCTTCCGTGGGAGATTGGGCTTTAGAAGTTGGAACTATCTGGTTGCGCCTGTCTCTGAGATGCATGCATATCTGACAACGTCAGCTTGGCAATTTGAGAGTTGAACAAGATAGCAGACCCCAGGGCAGTCAGTGTCCACCGCACCAAATACTGAACCCGGTTTGCCAAGCATGTATTTGACCGCTCGGGATGACATATGCTTCGCGTCGCGATGTGGGTTAGGGTTACATCACGCCAAACAGATTCAGGCGTGATACGCCCTGTTACCTCAAGAAAATTGACGTCCATGCGCCATTTGGCACCTTTCCCGAAGGCACGGCAGCGAGACGAAGAGTCAGCGAGCGGACCCTCGCCAGCCCAAATTGCCGCCCCTCTACCCAGTTCTTCGCGCTTTTCCTTCGTGACCCTGAGACTACTAGATACGAGACAGTGACAGCTAGACTCGCGTTTGATTCCCACCCGGACGGATTATAAGGGGGAGATCCAAACTGAATTGCTGATGCGCCTGAGGAAAGTGGGTTCCCAAGCGTTGAGAGAACCGGGCGCTAGAAATTTCAGGCTAGGAATCGCCCATTCAATACTAATCCGAGGGGCCGGGTCCTCCTGCTACGAGGGAAACATGTGTCGTCAGGGCCTCGATACCACTGATGCCAACCAGAGGGCTGAGGCATTCAACGGAACTTCGTGCACTAACAGACAGAAACAGAGCCAAGTCTTTCTAAGAGGTGATATAAGTCCAGAGGCCCTGGTCTCAACTTTCAGGAACACTGCCAATTCTGGACCTGGCGCGCTTGAGCAAGTCGCAGTAAGTATAAGCTTCGGAACGCTCAGATTCACCTACCGCTGCAAAGCACGGCCTTGACAACCTGAGCAGTTGGCTCTAGGATAGACTGTATCTGCTCGTACTCTGGCAAACATTTGAAGCTCCTTTGTAGTGACTTGCCCCCTCCGAGGGCACGAACGTTGGAATTTATTAGGCGTAATCAGTTCGCGCTCAGGCTGGCGGCACGCTCCTGCCAGTGTCGGAGCCCAAAATCGTGGGTGTGAATTGAGTCGGAGAGTACTTTCGGACTCGCGAGAATGGATACTCGACAGCGGATGCAAAGTACTACAGTGCCTTGTTGGTGCCTTGCATAAGAAACTGAACATCGCATTTCAGCGCGCGTTGTTTGTCCGCGCCAAATATACCCTTTTCGGATATCGGCAAATGTGCGGCAAAGACCCATCGAGAGGGAGAGTAGCTGGGCATGCCGCTGGGGGCAGAGTCTAATGATTTACAGCCCTTAGTGTAGTTGTAGAATATACATTTCATGTATTCTATGAAGCCTTTCGAGCCCTCTCGGGGCGTCTGCGAGTCCCTGCCCAGCAAATGGCCCCGCGAGAGGCCTTCCCCGAAAAGGGCATATTTGGCGCGAACAAACAACGCGCGGGGAAATGCGATGTTATGCAAGGCACTGTAGTAGTAGTACTCCGGATTAACAGTCGATCAGGTCCTGACATCCCTTGGTCTTCAGCTCTTCAGCTTGGATCCTGAAGGGCGCACTATCCCTCTAGTGCAAAACGTTCAGCTTCCTGTCCCTGTGGTTGCGACAACCGGCGACGGTGAGCTCCAACGTCAGAATATGGGCTTTGCTGTCCACTCCATCGGTCAGTCTCCATTCCTGAGGACTACATAATACATACTCGCCTGCAAACCCGGACATGCCTCTCACATTATCTGCTGTAACCTCGGTCTCGATATCAGTTACTACTACTTTCTGACAACACGCAGCCCGCCTGCGGCCCTCTTCGGAGGCATGACTACAGCTAAAGATGTGATGACACTTGCTTAAACATTCCCTCGGAAATTGGCTGTTTCTCGCCGAAGGACATCATGCTGTAGCTGCCTTTCTCTTGCGATCTGAACATGTACGTCATATCATGCCTAATCAGCAATATCTCACCTGATCTTCGCGCACGGGGGAGACAGTGTTCCAGTACAGACCGTCTCAGCTCGCCTGTGCCCGACTCTGAGGCTGGTTTAAGCTAATGAGGCGATCTGACCCCCGCACTCACGCACGTCAAAGATCACGGCGCGTATCACGACCATCAGCCATCAAGCCGTAAGGCCCGATCTACCCATGTTCCATGTCGATCAACATATATAACGCCTCAGCCTCCATGCATCCCTTGGGCTGGCCCCTTCGAGGAATT